AATAAGCAACGCTGCCTCCAGAAGTCCGTAGAATGATAAGGCCATAAATTGGCAGTTGAAACCCTAGAGAAAGGAATGGTTGCTATAGATTATGCACGAGTAAAAGTCTCAAAATGAAAGAGAACAACAGCAATCGAGCGATCGCGGTGGAACTTGAACAGCTGCCAAGTTTAATGCGAGCGAGGATTTGCGTACTGGAGCGTGGAAACCTCCACTTCGAAAAATATGGACGCTCTCTTTCGCACTTTTCTTTTTTCTGCTTCCATCTTTCATTTTCACATCCAATTTATGATGACACTTGTCGAAAATATCGAAAATAGGTAGCTTTGTGTATTTCTAACTGTTTAGAAAAGCGAGAAGAGCAAACCTTATTCGCTACGCATTTTTCATAAATTTTGTTTTGGATTTTGTCTTTTCGTCCACTTGATTAGTTCTTAGTTTACGCGTCGTTTAAATGCCAATGTGTTTTAAGATTTCAAATCTGCGTCTTGTCGCTTCCACTTCTTCTAAAGAATAATGGTGTGCGATGCTTGTGAGTTTGACTTCTTAGCAACACTTTTTCTTGGTCATGTATGTCTTAGGATGTGGTTTTAGGTCAGAAGAAGCTCACCAAAATTGTTGGGATAGATCCTTATCGCAATAAAGTGTACAACAAATTGCCAGGGGTGCAGAAGAGGCCACCGGCGAATCAGAACAAATTAATTGGAAGCGAGAAAAAGTAAGATTCGAAAACATAGCCGAATGTACTATTTCTTCTCTGCAGGGCAACAGTGATGAATGTGAAATGCAAAATTTGCAAATGTGCAATACATCAAGTTGGCTCGCACTATTGCCAGACGTGCGCCTACCAAAAAGGAATCTGTGCGATGTGCGGGAAGAGAATCCTCAATACCAAAGGCTTGCGTCAAAGCACTGTATAGGTTGCAATGTACTTAATTTCTTTTTGTTTGTGGTTTTCATTTCTATGCGGAGGATGATTTATTCGTGGAGTTCCGTGTATTCTAAGTAAGCTTTTTGTACATTATTTTTTTTTGAATTCCGGGTTCTGCCGTATTTTTTACTCGTTCATGTATTTTTTCTGTATAATCTGAAAATGTATGTACATAAACATTTGATATTTTATTTATTAACAGCACAAGCATAACAATGGTCTCACAGAAAAATTTTTTTTGAGATGCATTAAGATATTTAGTACTCTGACTGCGTCCATAGCTTGAAAGTGCGATCAAAAGCTGATGACATTAACCACTTCCCATCCGGGCTGATATCAACGCACATAACCTGAAAATGATATCATCATAAAAAGTAGTTTATAACGCTGTCTCAGCTTTTCGCGCACGAAGCACAAAAATTCACAAATGAGAAAAAACATCACATTTACAGAGAGAAACAAGTTTTAAGAACTTCCAGCTGTAACTCGCCTTTGTATCATGTCCTTTCAATTGTCTCAATGGTTGCCATCCTGAGGTAGACCAAATCTAGAAGCAATACTCAGTAGTAGCAACGAGTGAGAAAAATCTCCTAGTGATGCTTACCTTCAAAGAGGTGTCATAACTAGAAGAGACTAAATATTGCCCTATCTTGTCCACTACTACTCTAGACACTACACTAGAATGTGCTGGCATTGTATATGTATTCTTTCGTATACGTAGATCCCATACTTTTATTGTGTTGTCTGCGCTGCCCGTCACCATCTCATACCTGTAAATTAATACAATAATACTAGAATCAAAGACAAATGACATTTTCCAAATAATTATGCGCTTTAGCAAGAGCAAATTTGTAGATTATGTGTAGATTGATAAAAAAAA